TGCCTTGCGCCCCGAACCGGAGCCCTGGCTTTCCGGCTCCGTCCAGCCGCCTAGACAGATTGTCCCTAGGGACCAGGAGATCATCCATGTCACCCAGGCTTGGGCAAGCGTTGGGGGCACCGCAGGGGAATCAGGGCGTCCTAACCCTTCTCCAGGGGCTGGCACCGTAAGCGTCTCCCTTCCTCCCATTTCACCCAACAGCACGCGTTCTCTTGGCTCCCTTTTACCCACCCTCAATTTCCACCTCTTTGAAATCTGTGTCCCGCTTAAATTCCGGAAGCTACGGCGCTATAACTCTAGGTCATTTTGACCCCATGCCCAGCACCTAGTAGGACCCGGTAATTAATGTGGCGTGATTCCAAGCGGAAAACTGGGAAGGAGACCTGAGGAGTGCCCAGCTCAGGTCCCTAGACGGACGCTGGACCCAGGAAACCGGGTTTATCTTCAGCTGCTTTGTCCCTGCGAAGCAGGGTCTGCCGGCTAATCTGCACCACCCCCAGGAAGGATCTGACCCAACAGGACTAGGAGATGGGCTGTCACTTCTTTAAGCAGCTCTGCTCGGTTCAGAGTCTCAATAAATAACAATTACATCACGAAGCCAGGGTGGCAGTGCAGCGAAACCTGAGTTTCCTGCAGTCTCGTCTTGCTGAACCCGCCTCTAAATTTGAGGGGGGCTACAGATTGGTGAAGCGAGAAAGTGGAGGGAGGAGAGAATAATACGAAACCATGATCTCGCCCTCTCGTATTTTCCGCTTTATAATCCTCTCCTCTCCTCAGGCATCTTACTTGTGAAGACTCCTTCTGATGCTCCCCCTACCCCAGATGCCACCTTTCTTTTTCTCTTTCATCTCGCCATGAAAAGAAATATGAGCAGAGAGAGAGTGGTTGCAGAAGTTGGTTTAGTTTAGCATAAAAAAAAAAAAAAACCACTAACGTACATCTTCAGTTCACTCTGAACTCTAAAGTGGTATGCCTGGGATAAACTACTCCCTGAATAAGACAATTTTGTGGATGAAGCTGTCCACTCCCATGCATTTTCGGTAGCATTTGGAGACAGAGTTATTGATGCACAAAGAAATCAAAATTTACCCAAGTCATCAAACTATACCCTTTTACTGTTATGTAATAGTTTCACAACTAATTATTTTTTAGGTTTTTCAAGTGAGTAAGGTCTGGAGTATTTTCCCAATCTTGAAAACGAAGGCAGTTTTTCAAATTAGTTCTTAGTAGAGAGATATCCTAGCACAGTCCTGAGCACACGTTAGGAATATTTCTCTTAATGGTGATGGTACATGTTAAGATACGCAACATCTCTTCCTGTGATTCACCTATGCAGTCTGTTGTTACTTAATGTACCGTAAACCTCATGTAACAGAATAGCATGTGTGTTTGCCACAGTTCAAAATCTCCGTAAGACAAATTAGCTAAGGCAGCAGATCTTTGGGGCATCATTTATCCTGGATTGAAAAAAATAATAATATTTACAATTAAATGAACAGCATAATTGGATCTTCACTCTTCTGATTAAAAAATTGTTTTAGATATTACACAAGGACTTTCTAAAATGTACTATAAATGTGTCTGTGTTTTTAAGCAATTTATTGGGCTTTATTTGACATTTTATTGAAAATTCAAGGTCAGTCTCAAAAATCATCATTGTGGTAGATTGTAGTGGATTCAACAAGAGATTTCAGTTAGCCATAGTGATACTAGCCTATAATCCCAGTCATTGGGAGGAAGAGACAGAAAGTGGGAAGTTAGAAGCCAGCCAGGACTTCTTAGCAAGTTCGAGGACTAAGTTCCAAAATGAGAGATTCTGTTTTGTAAAACTAAGTACTAGGGATGAAGCAAAGAGTGATGATACTTGACTACATGTGTAAAGCCCCTGCAACACACACACACACAGAATTCTGAGTTTGTGTTTTATCTCAAGTGTCTGTTACCGATAAGCAAACATTTTCCTCTCTTCTGATTGGCAATTTCCTTTCTGGAACAGACTAAGAATCCAGGCAGCCTGTCACAGTTAATATAAAGTTAAACTAAGTAATAGACTCCATGCAAGAGAGTGAGGCTCCCCCCAAGGAGTAAGTAAAGTCATGTACCACAGTGTCAGACCTAAGGACAGATATTGGGGTCTCTCAAATGGCACTCTGAGAAGTGTTGGTCTCACTTCTTAGCCAGGGTTTGGACCACTGATACTGCCCAGCAGGCCAAATCTTGTCCGACTTATCCAATATCAGGACTGAAACGCCAACAGCGTTAGATGTTAGATAGTGCATGGAAGCTGCTCGCCCACTCCAAATATAATAATTAAAATCCCGGAATTTTTGGTAATATATTTGTGTAAACTTAATCGCATAACTCGTGTGGAATTCATTTGAATGTACCATGTTAATTGTGTGAAGACCATTTTATGTTTGTTCTTCCTTTTAAAAAAAAAATGCCAGTACAGGGTCAGTGAGATGGTGCAAGGATAAAGTCACTCGCTGCACAAGCCTGGTTACCTGAGTGTGATCCTGGGAACGTGCTCCACAAAGCTGTCCTCAGACCTCCACAAATGTGCATGGCACATAACCCACACATATCAAACACGCCCATATGCACATTTTTTATTTTGCTCTCAGGAATTGAACCTCATCATT